GTGGCTCTGGTTTTGTCTTGAAATACTTTTTCTTTCTCAGAATTGTCATGTTTTTTGCCATTAATACTTTGACTTTAATCTCAAAATCACAACTTTAATGTCCAAATTGAGAAACCAAAGAAAAAATTTATCTGTTTTTATTTTCTTCTTCCGTCGGAATAAAATGTTTTTTAGACATTCAGAATATTTTTACTCACTGATCCTGGCTAAAACTCAGAACGACAGTTTCCCACCTGTCTGGGTCCGGTCTTCTTGAGAGAACAGCAGGTGACTCTTCATGAAGCTCTCAGGTTCTTCTCATAATTATCAGTACAACAAAAAGTGTTTAATGGTCAACTGAAAAGAAATATTAAAATAAGGAGTTTCTCGTGTTTATCTTTTGGTTATACTCTTTAATGACGTTTTTAACCACCGTGTTTAGGAGAGCTGACTGAACTCTGACAGTCAGACGGGATGAAGATGCCGCTGAAAGTGTGGAGCGCCAAGATCCAACATCCAACTTAAAACTAACTTCACCGTGCTCTCGTTCTCTGTGGCGACGACCTCACCGTCTGTCTTCAGGACGTAAGTAAAACTAGTCACGACAGTTCCTGGTAAATGTTCTAGCTTTGTATTTCTCTGTTGATTTGATGTAAAGCTTTCATTTAAAATATGTTCTAAAATTTTCAGACAGAATTATCTAATATTTGATCGAATGCAGCGTAAAACTTTCTGTTGCACCAAATTGGAATTGGAGACGATCATAAATGATTAATTTTTGTAATTATAGTTTCAGGCAGCAGGAAACAGAAGATTCAGCGTAGATGCTTGAAAACATCGACCTACAAGAACAACGACAGGCTGCCAGCAGGAACTGTGAGGAGAGGAATAGCAGTCGCATTGACGATAAATTAAAAGATGAATATTCAACCAGATGACTCCAGCTGGTTTGGCATGGTGTCTTCAGATCCTTCAGCTTCCACATCAGAGCTGGAGCAGACAGAAGACAGAAAAGATCTCAGTAAGTCATATTTGTTAACTTGAGCTAATAACTCGCGTTGTAAAGTAGCTGCCCAGGCCCCCCCACTTATTGTTTCACGACCCACAGAGAGATCTTAGCCTCAACTTTGAGAACAACTAGAGAAGCAGCACCAATTAACAGTCATTCAGTTAACCGTGGGACACAAGAGTGAGTGGAGGACAACTAAAAGACTGAAGAGGACGACATACCGAGTCCACGGTGTCCCGGATGACAGGAGTCAGTGTCAGTCAACTAACAAGAAAACGACAAACAAATGTTTTCATTAATATAAAAACTAAACGTAATATCATTAGCATAGTTGTTCTGATAAATGCTGTAAGGGTTTCTGGCTTGGATCGAGTGAAAGTGTGTAGTTTGTGATGTCTGTTACTGGTTTTGGAGTTTTTATGTGAATCTGTGAATCGCACAAAGTTGACAAGAAGTCTGCTTTGAAAGGCAAAGCTAGGTTGCCTGAAACCC